GTATTTTTAAGGAGTATGACAGGAATCAATTTCTTAAATAAGCACTGAATTATCAGTTATTTGTTCAATTGGCTAATTCTAGGAAGGTTTTAAAATCCTGTCTTTATTCCATTTTTTAAAGAAGTTTTTAATGTTTATTTATTTTTTGAGAGAGAGAGAGAGAGCATGAGCAGGACAGGGGCAGAGAGAGAGGGAGACACAGAATCTGAAGTAGCCTCCAGGTTCCGAGTTGTCAGCACAGAGCCTGATGTGGGGCTCAAACTCACGAACTGTGAGATTATGACCTGAGCCAAAGTCGGATACTTAACCGACTGAGCCACCCAGGTGCCCCTATTCCATTTTTTGATGTAAATAACTTAGGAAAATAAAGCACTGTGAAGTGAAGATGAGTGTTATGGTCTGAATGCTTGTGTCTGCCCCAAAATCATGTGCTGAAATCCTAATGCCCAAGGTGATACTAGAAGCTGGGCCCTTGGTGGGGTGATTAGGTCATGAAGGAGGAGTCCTTATGATGGGATTAATGCCCTTTTTAACAAGGTCTGAAAGAACTCCCTTCTGCCTTCCCTAAGTGAGGACACAAGAAGTTGACAGCCTAAAACTGGAAGACAGCCTTCACCCAACCTTACTGGCACCCTGATCTCAGACTTTCAGACTCCATAATTGTGGGAAGTAGCTGTCTATTGTTTATAAGGCACCCAGTCTGTGGCATTTTGTTATAGCAGTGTGAAGGGACTAGGACAATAAGGGAAGAAATGTAACTTTTTTGTGTATTTAGAATGACTTATGAGCTGACAACCTAGCTTAAATTTTCCCATTCCACCAGATGTTTCAAATGAATCAAATATTCTTTGACACCCAGAAAACAAAACCAAACAACAACAACAACAACAAAAAAAAAAAAAAAAAAAAAAAAAAAAGGAAAGGAAGGAAAAAGCACAAACAGAAAGAAGAGGAAGTGGTTTATTTATTTAGGTTATTTAGATAAACAGTGGAGATGGCGATAGCATCAATTGCTTATTCCCTAGAATCTCTTACCCTTGGCTTCAAGATAGAATATTCTTAACATCTGGGTATTCTTCCAGGGTGTCATGAAATACTAATGACCTCCCCTGTGCTAAGCCTAATTTGCTCCTAAATTCTTATTGTCTGGAATATTTCTGTTTCTTATAGCAGAAGTCAAATCAGGTGGAGTTAGATTGCAGATTGTCTTCTGAGCTAGCAAGTCAGGGCCCCAAGTGGAGCCGGGCATACATGCAGGGATTTCCATCCTTTAGTACTTACTTGTCTGAGCAAAGCTTACTCTCCATCAGTCCCTCTCCTGCAAGGCTGGAAGACGAGTGGAGTGTGGGGAGGCTCAGTGGCAGAGCAGCCTCACCTGCTTATTTATTCTCACTATCCAGCCTGAGAAGAAGGGAGAGAGTGATTTGGCTACTTTTGGCTCAATGATTAAAAAATGAGATTAATGAATGAGAATATGCTTCCAAATGCTGGTGTGGACAAGTTCAGTTATTTTTTAATTCATGATATATGAAACAAAGAGAGAAACAAAGCTTACTACTGTAATTGTTAACGTTAGTATAATCTGCAGTTTACTTTTCAAAATTGAGGGAGGGCATTGGGGTGGCAACAGGCAATATTCTGCAAAGTAATATTTCGCAGAACATAGACCATAACCTGTGGTAATTTTTTCATCCCAGTCCTTAAAACTCACAAACAAGATGGGAATTTTGTAAACAACCCACCCACAGAACAAAACTGCTACGTTTCAGAGAAGGCTCTTCCTCTCTGGTCTCCCATCCATCTTCCTTCCTCCTGTCCTTCCTCCCTCCCTTTCTTTTCCTTTCTTTCTTTCTTTCTTTCTTTCTTTCTTTCTTTCTTTCTTTCTTTCTTTCTTTCTTTTTCTTTCCTTCCTTCCTTCCTTCCTTCCTTCCTTCCTTCCTTCCTTCCTTCTTTCTTTCTTTCTTTCTTTTCTTCCTTTATACTTAAAGATATACTTTATATCTTTCTTTCTTTTCTTCCTTTCTTTCTTTGTATTTTACATTTAGCAACTTGTAAGAATAATACAATACACTCTCTCATACCATTCACCTAGATTCACCAATTATAAACCACTTTGCACATTTGATATCGCTCTTCAATATAATTACTATTATTGTTACTATTAGTATTTTTCGAAATCATTTGAGAGTAAATTGAAGACAACATGGCCCTTTACCCCTAATCTAAATATTTTAGCATGCATGTTCTTGGGAGCAAGAACATTCTCTAACATAATCATAGTGCAATTTTCAAACACAAAACATTTAACATATATTTAATACATATATTTAATTTTATATTCAATATAAAATCTATATTCAATTTCACCAACGGCCCCAATGATATTCTTTATAGAGTTTTTCTTCTTCACTGATTTGGGATTCAATCCAGGATCATGCATTGCCTTCTGCTGCTGTGTCTCTCTAGTTTCTCAATCTAGGACAGTTTCTCTTTTTTCCTTTCATGACATTAACACTTCTGAAATAGAATTTTTTTAAAGAATGTCCCTCACTTTGGGTGTGTTTAATATTTTCTGAGGATCAGATTCAAATAATGCCCTTTTGGCAGGAATAATACATTAAATGATGGTGCAGTATTTCTTAGTGCATCATGAAAGGAGGCATGTGATGTCAGTTTGTCTCATTAGTGGTACTAAAATAGAACAACTGGTTCTATATCTAACAGATTTTGCTATTGTAAGATTACCATTTTTACTTTCGTAATTCAAAAATAGTCTGTGATGAAGTGTTTTAAGGTGGTGTAAATGTCCACCTCTAAATCAAACTTTCACCTAATAGTTTTAGCATCTACTGATGAATCTCACCTGAGATTATTATTATGCTGGCTGTAACAGTGATCTTCGTATGTTATCATTCAGAAGTTAGAAAAAAATTATAGTATTTTACTCTGATATTAATTGGGAGCCTAATTTTGTGATACATAGTTTGAATACTAAGATCTAAGAAACTCCCTAAATTCAACATCAGAATTTTCTTTTTTGATCAACACTGGAATTTTCTCACTTCCTTCTTTTTTAGAGATAATATTGTATAGTGATAATTACTGTTACTAATAATTAATGTTTATTAAATGCTTACTCTGTGCTGAGCACTGTGGAAAGCACTTTTGGTGTCTCATTTGACACATAGTTATTATTAGACTCTATTTTCCCCCATGAGAATATTAAGGATCAGAGGCTAGTAACTTGACTAGGGTCACATAGCTAGTTTGTCCCAGCTACTTTTGCATACCCTGCCATTATTTCTACTGTGAAGTAATAAAATGGGAATTGATCTACCCTGGGAATGTTGTCAGTGCCTTTAGCTTCCAGTTCCAAGGCCAGCTATATTGTTATATATCGAGTCTCTTTTCTTGCAGCCAAGAGCTGGAGTATTCACTAGTACTGAGGTGAATTCAGCCTCTTGATGTGAAATGGAATTAAAGAAACTGTGAGGTAGCATAAGGCAGTGGTTTTCAAATGCTATCCGGAGGCATCCCCTCCCCCCCCCCCCACTCCTGTGAGGGGGGATTTTGGATAACTTTTTTTTTCTTCTCCTCCCCATTCCCCTACTCCCGCCAGTTTTATTGAGATATAGTTGACTTATAAAACTGTATCAGTTTAAGGCATACAATATAATGACTTCATATATGTATGTCTATATCTATCTATATCTAAAAAGTTAGGAATATAAAAATGATGCTGTTAATCACTTACAGTAGTCCTGACCTCATCCTTAGAGAATATGGTCCAAGACCCAGCAGCACCACCCCACCCAACAGCTCCATGCCTGAAACTGCAGACAGTACTGAACCCTATATATACTATTTTTTCCTATACACACATACTTGTGATAAAGTTTAATTTGTAAATTAGGCACACTAAGAGATTAACAACACTAGTAATAAAATAGAACAATTATAACAATATACTGTAATAAATCCATGTGAATGTGGTCTCTCAAAATACCTTATACTCACCCTTCCCGTGATGGTGTGAGATGGCAAAATGCCCAGGTGATGAGATAAAGTGACATGAATGATGCAGGCATTGTAATATGGTGTAAGGCTACTATTGACCTTACAATAATTCTTCAGAAGGAGGGTCATCTGCTTCCAGACTGAGGTTAACCTCAGGTAACTGAAACCAAGGAAAGTGAAACCACGGTAAGAAGGACTACTACTACATTTTTTTTTTTTAATTTTTTTTTCAACGTTTATTTATTTTTGGGACAGAGAGAGACAGAGCATGAACAGGGGAGGGGCAGAGAGAGAGGGAGACACAGAATCGGAAACAGGCTCCAGGCTCTGAGCCATCAGCCCAGAGCCCGAGGCGGGGCTCGAACTCACGGACCGCGAGATCGTGACCTGGCTGAAGTCGGACGCTTAACCGACTGCGCCACCCAGGCGCCCCTACTACTACATTTTCAATGAACAGTTTTTCCTCTCATATACTGGCTGTATTTATTAAAATATAGTTTTGTTCATTGAAACTAATAATGAAAAATCTGGACTCGTATTTTGCCTTTTCCCCATTTTTCAAGAAATTCATTTTTTGCTGTATTTTACGAAGACATTTTTAGCGATGAATTGTAAAAATAAAGAACCTGTGCTTTCGCCACAGATAACTTGGGAGTCCGCTCTAGAAGGTTAATTTTGAGGTGGGCGAAGGGAGTGTAGTAAGAACCAGGGTCCCGGAACCAGCTTAAACAAAAATAAAAACCTGACCAAAGCTTTAGCAACTAACATCGTTTTCTGGTTCAATACGCTCAACTTGTATTACGGCGGGTGTCCGCCGAGTACAAACCTAGTAAAAAGTAACCGCTTCCCGCCGCAACTCCTTGCACAGCTTTGGCCTGAGGCTCTTGAGAGTTTAGGCTAGGGAAAAGGAGCCAGCGGGGCGGGGCGAGCAGCGTGAGGTTATCAAAGAGCGCCGCTGGCGCCCGGGATAGAGCCGGCGCCTCATTGACGTCACCACTGCCCGACTGCTTTTCCCGGAGACCGGAGTAGAAGGCCAGCGAGGTATTATTCGAAGCTGGGGGTTGAGTTTGTCTCGTGTTTCTGCAAAAGTTCGCTTCTTCTGGGAGTCCCCCTTTCTTCCCCTGGCTGACTGTGAGGAGCGGGTCGAGCTGCGTAGCCTTCGTGAATGCGTTCCCTCACACCCGAGCGTTGGGGGCAGCATTGCTTCAGGCCCTCCACTTGGCTTGCCCTGCGGCTGCTTGCTGGCTTTGGCTAACCTTGGACCCTTACTTCTCCCTCTTGATCTGGCCTTTACTTTTTTCTTCTCAGCTCCTCCTATCAAATATTGGAAGGCGAAGGAGAAATTAAATAACTTAACAATTTTCAGCTGCCGTCAAATCTTGTTTAGGGAGGAAGGCCAAAGTGGGAAGTGTAGAGGAGTAACTTTACTGTGTTATCCACATTTTTCATTCACATATATGATCACCAACTGCCTGCCGCTGCAGTATTAGCCCACCTGAGTCGGTAGGCTAATCTCGATTTAAAGGTGAAATCCAGAGTGGGTACTCAAGAAAGTTTTCCTTTATGCCTCAGGAAGAAGGTTGGGTGCGATTCAAACTTCTGCTTAAAATTATCTTTAATATCTTCCTGTGTGTTGACCGCAGTTCAGTTTTTGCTTGATGAAGATGTATGTGTCCCGCTTATTAACCTCTTTGGACTGTCTGATAATATACTGAAGCGAGAAGTAATTATATGTTGACGTTGGTTCCAAAAATGTTGGATCCGAAAAAAAAAATCCGCAACTATTGAAATTGAGAGAACTGTTTGTGATGGTGGAAATGCCAGAACTCATTGTTTTGTTGAAAGATAAAATAATGACAGTGTGAACAGTGGTTTTCCAAAATGCTATAGGATGTTATAGCTCCCTCCAATAGCTATGTTGTATGTATCACAGTACAGAGGTGATACAGTTTTTCATAACTGCTTTTAGTTTTTAGATGGTTCTTTATATGTGTTATCTCAGCTACTGTTTCCAAACAGTTGACCCTTCAAGTTTGGCTTTGAATAGTCCACATTGGATTAGGGTATTTGATCATTTTCACTTTAGTAAAATAATAACTACTACTACTAGCTACTAGTGATAACTGAACCATGCACTGTTCTAATAGTTTTACCAATATTATTCATTTAACTTTCACAATAGCCCTATATACTGTTACTCTTTTAGAGATGGTAATATTGTAATAAGGAAATTCCGTGGTTTTGGAAGGTAGTTTTGCTGCTTCATATCTATAAATTTGAAAATATTTTGAGTTAAACTAACATTAAATAATCGAAGTAAATTCATTACAATCTGATGTAATTATTCGTCTCAATCTTGAGCAACCTTTTGTAATTTCTATCTTTTTCTGTTATCGGGCTTTGGGATAAGTTTTTTTTAAGTTATTTATTTTGAGAGAGAGATAGAGAGCAAGCTGGGGAGGGGTAGAGAGAGAGAGGGAGACTGAGTAACAAGCAGGCTCCATGCACTGTCAGCGCAGAGCCTGATGCGTGGCTCAAACTCAGGAACTATGCATGAGATCATCACCTGAGCTGAAATCAAGAGTCTGACGCTTAATCAACTGAGCCACTCAGGCGCCCCTAAATTTGTTTTTTAGAGGTTAACACCTTTAAAAAGAAAAAGTTAATCTTTTCTCAGGGATTTTACTGTAAGTTTGAAGGAAAATTATAGATGGTACTAACATGGGTTGTCTGCCAAAGGAGTGATATTATTGATGGATTGTTCTATATATGTTTCACCGTTATTTTCTAAGAAAATGCAGTGCAAAAAGGTCATTATGGTAATAGAATTCTGGTGTGACATCTGCAGATGTCCTCTAGTTCCAAAAAAATTATAAATTGGATTTTTTTCTGGCTTAGTTCATAATTGTATGTAACTCTGCTTAGCATAGGAATGGAAATAGTCCTAGAATGTACATTATGGTACATTTTTCTTTTGGATTCATGTGGTGACTTCCTAATATCTTTAAGTATAAATTCTAATCTGATATTAAGATTTTCCAAAATTTGTCTCCAGTTTACTTTCATTGGTTTTAGACAGTTAACAGATAGTTACGAAGTACCTAATATGTGTCAAGACATTGTTAGTCACATGCAGATGCAAATGTCATGCAACATGAATCCCACCTTGAAGGAATAGCACAGAGGATACATAACCAGTGGAATGTTTTGAGCAGAGGACTGACATGATCTGATTTAGGTTTTTAACAGGATCACTCTGGCTGCTGTGTTAAGAACAGATTGTTGAAGAGTGGCATAGGCAAAAGCCAGGAGACTAATTAGGAAGGTGTTGTAATAATTCACATGAGATTATAGCAGCTTCACAATCTCATAGGGTGGAAAGAAATGAATATGGTGAGTAGCAGTTCAATTTTGAACGTATTTTGTAGGTAAAGCGAACAGATTTGTTTATGGATTAAATGTGGGTTGTGAGAGTAAGATAATTGTCAGGGTATGGGACTTGAACAACTAGAAGGGTGGAATAGCCATTAACTAAGAAGTGAAAAACTATGGGAGGAGCAGGCTTGTGGGGGAAGATTAGGAGTTCAGTTATGACATACTATATTTGAGATGTCTATTAGTCATCCAAGTTGAGATGTTGAGTCTACCAAGTCTGGAGTTCAGTGGGAGTAGATCATTGCTAGAAAAGAACATTTGGGAGTTGTCAGCGAACAGATGGTATTTAAAATTGGGAGACTGGAGATAATCACCAAAGGAGTGAATATAAACAGAAAAGAACGTAGTACAAGACCTGAGTCCTTAGGCATTTTAGCCTTTTTAGGTTTGGGGAGATGAAGAACTAGCAAAGGAGACAAAATGAATAGCTACTGAGGAGCAGGGACAGTTTTGAGAATCTAGTGTTGTGGGATTCAGGGCCGAGTAGTGTGTTCATTTTTGTCAAATGTAATGAATGGATGGGTCATTTGAATCTTGATCTTTGAATTTATCAAGATACATGAAAATGTGTATGATTGATGGATATATGATAACTAAGTCTGGAGAACCATGAGAGTAAAGAAGAAGGAGAAAAGAAGGAGATGAAATTACTCCTTTATAGAGGAGAGGGCATTTGATGTTGGTTTAAAGAATTAGGGGCGCCTGGGTGGCGCAGTCGGTTAAGCGTCCGACTTCAGCCAGGTCACGATCTCGCGGTCCGTGAGTTCGAGCCCCGCGTCGGGCTCTGGGCTGATGGCTCAGAGCCTGGAGCCTGTTTCCGATTCTGTGTCTCCCTCTCTCTCTGCCCCTCCCCCGTTCATGCTCTGTCTCTCTCTGTCCCAAAAATAAATAAAACGTTGAAAAAAAAAATTTAAAAAAAAAAAAAAAAAAAAAAAAAGAATTAATGTTTCACTGGGCTCAGAATACAGGGGATGGAGTTTAAGGACAGGTATTCAGAGCAGAGGGAAAGGCTTTACTTCTTTCTCTTCAAGGCCATACCTCCCAGGCTGCTGTTTTAAAGATACTTTTGCAAGTCCTTTCCTTTGTGTCCATTAGCCAATTCCTGCATTCTTGGTAATTGTTCTTGCTCTAGGCCTACTGAACGCTGCTAAAGAAATTCACAGAACCCCAACCAGGTCCTCTCTCAGTTGACTGACAATTCCTTTATTTATCCTTATCTTAGCACGGAATCTACGATGCCATGTAAATGAGTAATATTCACTGAACATTTACTACATGCCAGGCACTAAGGATTGATTCTGAGTAAAGACTTGCCCTGTATGAAGCTTACAGTCCAGTGTGGATGATGGACATTAATCAAATAATGGCAGAAATATGAAATTACAACAATGATAAGGAGAAAGAAGGATGCTGTGAGACTGTACCTAGTGGATATGAGGGGTGAGGGAGCGGAGTTAAGCAGGAAAAAAATCATGGTGGCTGGGAGTCCTCGCAATTCTAGGAGTTCTAGGGATAGCACACATCCAGAAAGGTTTTTGTAATGTGAGAAGAGGGAGAAAATGGCCTCATGGTGACTAGAAAATTTATGTGTACAGAAGGGAATCTATTCATATGGTTCTTTGAATATAATAGAGCTAAAGAATGTAGGTTTGATTTTAGCTGCTAAGTTGGGGAAATGACATTTTTATCTGGTATATTTCTGGATGAAGTAAATTTCAAAGAATTGAAAAACTTATATGTAAATACAGATAATTATTATAATATGTTATGTATATTATTGTTTGAAAATAATAATTCTGAGAGTATAACATAAAATGTGCTCCCTACCTTCCTGCTTTTTGGTTTCCCAGGAGTAGCCACAGTTAACAGCTTCTTTTTTAAGAAATTTACATGGATATACAAGTATGCCTCCATACTCATGTATCTTTTTTCTTAAAAACAAATGAGTGTATTATATGTGCTGTTCAGTTTTTGTTGACTTAATACATCTTAGGAATCCGAGCTCTACTTTATACCTTTTCATGGCATCAGAGTATTTTATTGAATGAATAGATCATAATTTATTTAACCAGTTCTTGTTAATGGGCATGTAGATTGTTCCCTGCTTTAAAGTTTCAGTATTTTAGGGGCGCCTGGGTGGCGCAGTCGGTTAAGCGTCCGACTTCAGCCAGGTCACGATCTCGCGGTCCGGGAGTTCGAGCCCCGCGTCAGGCTCTGGGCTGATGGCTCAGAGCCTGGAGCCTGTTTCCGATTCTGTGTCTCCCTCTCTCTCTGCCCCTCCCCCGTTCATGCTCTGTCTCTCTCTGTCCCAAAAATAAATAAATGTTGAAAAAAAAAAATTAAAAAAAAAAAAAGTTTCAGTATTTTAGTGTGTTGCAGTAGATGTCCTTGAACATTATCTTTGGGAAAATGTACTCTTTGGGAAGTAAAACTGCTGGGTCAAAGAATTTGTACGTACACAATTTTGAAGCACATTGCCAAATTCCTGCCACCCCCCATGCTCAATTTACACTCCAGTTAATAGTGAATGAGAGGCTGTTTCTCCTCACCTTTGCCCATATTAGATACTATCAATCTTCTTAATTTTTGCTTGTTTGACAGATGAA